GTGGCTTGCAGGTTGTACGGGGAGAGATGCGAGGTGAGGGAATTCCATGAGGGTTTTATTCGGCTTGTTCAGAATTATTCGGAATGGCGTTTCTTTTAACGCTTTTCGTCATTCTTTCCTTCGTAAGTGGAGTTGACGCTTCCATTTCGTTTAATTCGGCTGCAAAATCAGAAAGCAATGCAAACAAGGCGCAGAAACTGCATAACAGAAGCATCAGATTCTCGAGTGCCGGTCGGTTGGATCCCGACATCATTGTCAAGCGCATGATGGTATGTACCTGTTTCCCCTTTGAGAAGCTGTTGGCATTCAATCGTTTCTGAGAAAATGTGTAACCTAGTATAAAAGCATTCTTGACCTGCTTGGACACCCATTCACTCACTGTCTGCTTTGATTGCGCACGTTTTCAGAATTTGATTATGGAGATTCCAGGCTTTTCTGGGACTTCCAGGCGTAAAAGCCGTCTCCTTTCTACGACTCGGGAAGCGCTTTAGACTTTTAACGGCTGGAAAACGTGATATGCAGGTTAGATGAGCTTGAGGTCGACTCGAGCCATATATAACCATGCAACGGTCGGCTGCTTTTGTCAACGGTTGCGCATTCCGGAGTCGTCGCAGGATGAATTTCGAAATCCGTGAATTTAGATAGCTTTTTTGGGCGGGGAAGACGGTGTCGGTCGAATGTCGTCGCTGTCGTCTGTCACGCGAGAACGTATATTAAGGGAGACAAAAAAAAAAAAACGGGAATCCTCGCACCTGGCCTATTAGCTTCTGCGATCTTCACGCCGGTAGCAATTGCAGATAGCCATATGGCGCCTGTTCTGGATCTTCATGCTGTGCGATGAGGCGATCCAGGAAACGTCATATAAGGGCATTTAATTCCCAAAAAGGAACTGGATTTTCCGTGCACAAAAAAAAATATTCTCCAATATATTCCATTTCTGGGAAACTCGTCTCTGATCGGTACCATTTCGGAAAGGTCAACAGGCTCCAACCATGTTCAAGCGTCTCATCGCCTCTAAGAGAAGCAAGCCCAAGGAAAGAAAAATTCGTCTCTGTTCAGAGGACCCAGCGAACCCAAATCGACTGACTCAGCTGACGCCCTTTAAGCCGTTAAACGGCCCAAGTGTCGCCCTCTCCTGAGCACCTTTCGTAACATCTACTTCTCCATTTTTCACGTAGATGACGCTCGCCTCCTCTTCCAATCCCTAGACGTTATCTGTGCTCTCGTGATTTGCCATCAGTTATCCTCACCCTAGTAATTTGCAAATTTGTCAGAGGCGTATGATGCATGAGCACCTCCGACGGAAACGAGATAGCTCTTTTACCCGCAATACTTACGAGCAATTTATGGAGTCCAGTCTATGTTTACCCAGGCAACGGGTGTCCATTTTTATCGTCCGTGCTGGATGGTCGGCATCGGTTAGCAGGTCAATCACACGACAGCTGGAGGCGTGGGTTCTCCGAGGCATTCTTTCCCCGCCGTTAAATTCTTTTCGACCTGCTTTTGTTCCTTTTTTTCCCCTTGCAGTCATCCGACGGTGGTGGGAGACGGGCTCGCTTGCGTGATGCCATTTCAGGCGTGGCAACTGCCCTTTTTTCCGGTCGAGTGACTGTGCAAATAGGGGGGATTCCCGAGGATTACGACAGCGGCCAGCTCCAAGACGAGATCACGCGAACGAGCTCATTTTCAAGCGACTTCATCCCGTTCTGGAAAGCGAAAAATTATGTTTTCAAGGCGGTGAAACTCTCTGTCAACCGTGAATCCAGCGACGTCCGAAGAAAATTCAACACGGTTGCCCGAAAAGCATCCTGCAATTATCTGCAACCCTGCGACGACAAAACCATCTCAATGACGTCACAATCGCAGAAACTGCTCAAACAATTTTGCTGTCGTTCGAGGAAATGTTTGTAGTCGTTTTGAGATTCATTTATTGATCGACTTCTCATACATTTTTCGGATCCAAGTCGAATCGGAACCCGCAGGGAATTGGATCCAAAGCTCCAAAGGGTATTATCATTTGAAAGGTTAGAACTCATGTTAGATGTAGAATCTGGGAATTCGCAACGTATCAGTTTTCCGCTGTCTCATTTTCCTGTATGAACCTCAATCAGTACCCTATCTAGTTTAATGGATAGTGCCATATGTACAGCGACATCATTGCGATCACAGCTCTTTCTTCTCAACTGGGTAAATAATGACGTGTGGACAACGGAAGCAAGGTGCTCCTCCTCGCTGAAAACCGTGCTCTATACCGAGAGTCCGACTGTTCAACACGAGTTGAACATTATCTATAAATATATTTTAGGGCATATCGCAATGTAGATTGCTCCTCCATTCGGTCCTTTGATAGTTTTAGGATCGAGTAAGAGGTGATCGACAAGCATTACTTCTTAAGTATCGGCAGTGCAAACGTTGCGGATCGGAAAACGAACCATCGGTGAATTCCGTATCTTCTTGCCGGGACGTTTCCTGTATTCTCCCGATGGCAAGGTTTTTAATTCCTCAACTCTTATCGCTAGGTCTTCTGTCGTGCTTGAGCAGGTCGCATCAGACTGCCAATTCATAGTTACTGTAATAAGTTGGGATATTGCCCTTTGCAAGGAAATGGGAAACCCCAAAGGTAAAACCTAAAGCGCAGCAAGAGCCAGAAAACGAAAGGAAATAGCCAATAACAATCGGCTAGAAGGATAGGACGAGCAATAAAGTATTTACTTTAGGATCAAGATGCGGCAATTAACGCCACAAAGTCTGGCAGGATGGGCTTGAGTGGCACTCCAAAATGCATGGAGTGCCACGAACGACCATAAATGATAATATAGGTGGGTTGGCAAATTATGTTTCAACATTGGAAAACGAGATAATTTCACTGTCTTGAAATAAAATAATATCACCAGGATAATTTACGGCATACATAGAAGTCTTTCCCCTTTTAAACACGCCTTGAGGCCCCCACTTTCCATTGCCGAAAAAAAAAACCGAAAGAAAAGACAAAAGAAGCCCTTTCCTTGTCATGGGGAATTTCAGAGAATTTTTTTCTCTGTTCGGTTGAGATTTTTTTTGTACTTCATACTTGAACTCCTGGTAAATCTGAACATGGGAAGAGCTATTATCCATCATTGCCGAAGTTAAGGGCCTGAAAAAACTAATAACTTCGCCCTTGAAGGGCGAGTGGGCATGGAAGAAGTAAGGGTTGCGAAATTACCAGAATAGTGTTGCAACTTTAGCATAAGAAATGCGGAATCAGCCGAATGCTCATCAGGAAGGATGATCACGACGAAATCTAACCTTGTAAATTCTAACGAGAGAAATCCTTCCGCGCTTCGAGTCATCCGTTTCGTCTTTTCCTCACGTTTCAGCGAAGGCATAATACACCATGGTCCTGTGCACACAGACTCCGTCAGCTCCAGTGAAACAAGGAAACAAATATTTTGGATCCAAAGTCGTTGTGGAATTCACAGATTTGCACTTTATCCTAACATAACCTCGATTGAAACGAGTTTCCCTCAAAATCGTTTGACCTTAGATCTGTTAATGCCGTAATGTCATATCTTCACGTTATGATTGCAGTTCTTTTTGAAATCGCATTTATTTATGTTGTACTGGCATCTCACAGCGAAGTAATCGATACTCAAAAGCATCATCAAACGCGCTTCTTCCATTCTCTCATAGGGATTTTGTAGCGGGGAAGTTCCCGCCGGAGGAACCTCCCGGCCCGGAAGACTCCTCACAGAACTCCTCAAAGAAGAGCGGGTCCAGGTCCTGGATGTCTTTTCCGTCGTCGCAGTGCCCCGACGCGCTCCTCCAGAGATCCTCGTTCAGAACCAGCCAGGCCATGGAGCAGCCTCATACGATCGGATTATCTGCGAAGATAATCTGTATCCTTCCTTCGTTTCAGCGATCAGCAGTCTCAAATCTCTGGCATAACTTTTTTTTGCTTAAACTCCTTAAGAAACCAAATACGCTGAAGACCATTAAGATTATAATAGTCTATTATGATGCCTAATGCATCAAAAATAAATTCGGATTGGCGCAACATCCATCCAACAACAACATTCATGCTTTTACCCGGATTTTCCACGAAATGAATCACTGTGCAGTGCATGGAGTGCTCTCAGAAATCCTACGAGAGACGCTGTCATAATTGCCAGATCATCGGCATGCATGAAGCAAGGGTCGTTCTCGACGGACAGGAAGGTGTGTTTCGTCTCCAATTTGCGTTTGGAAAAGGGAAAGGAGAGGAGACATTTGGGATCCCTGTTTCGCTCCAAGAACGGGGGGGAACGACTCCGAACCCGACAACTGTGCATGCCGTTTCTGGACTCGGACTCGCCCGGAATGCAAGCAGGATCCACATTTGGAACTCTCGGTCGGAATGGCGTCTTGCTCAATGCGGCCGTCGAATCGCGAAGGCAGTCCGGGATGCAGTGGCTTTTGAGTGCGAACGGGGCGACGCAAGGTCAAGGAGGTCGTAATCTCCATCGACATCAACGAAATAGAAATGGATAAATGAATGGAATAACTGAATTTTTGCAACTCATAGCTGCCGTTCCGGGAAATCTTGTACGAGGATTGAGTTTCATCTGTTCGAAAAAATGAAGACCTAGGCCTGACCCGAAGACAGTCCGTCGGTTATGCCTAGGCCTAACGTTAGTGAGTTCCGTAGATAAGGGGGCAGTTGGGGGGAGGTGAGATCAGATTAGATTAGATTAGGTTGAGGTTGAGGTTGGGGTTAGTGTTGAAGAAAGGTAAAACCTTTGAAGATTGGTTTTCACATAGCTACATTCAATTTTTGTTTGGCTTCTCATAAATTTTCGAATCCAAGCCGAATCGAAACCCAAAAGGAATTGGATCCAAAGGGTTTTAAAATTTGAACGGTTAGAACTCTGTTAGACGTATATCCTAACCAAACCTTGTCTGAGTAGAACAAGTTTTCCCCAAAATCGTCTGACATTCGTTCTGTTAATGCTGTAATGTCATTGTCTTCGCGTTAGAATTGCAGTTCTTACAATTGCATTTATTCATACCGTACTGGCATCTCATCGCGAAGTAATCGATACTCTAAAGCTTCCTCATACGCGCTTCTTCGGTTCTTTCAAGGGATTTTGGAGCGGGGAAGTTCCCGCCAGATGAACCGCCCTGCCCATAAGACTCCTCGCATAACTCCTCAAAGAAGAGCGGGTCCAGGTCCTGGATGTCAGTCCCGTCGTCGCAGTGCCCCGACACGCTCCTCCGGAGATCCTCGTTCAGCACCAGCCAGGCCATGGAGCAGCCGCACTCGATCGGATTATCTGCGAAGATTATCCATATCCTTCCTTCGTTTCAGCGGTCAGCAATCTCAAATCTCTGGGAAAAATTTTTTTTGCTTAACGAAGAATCGAGAAAAATGCAGTTGTAGTGACCTTGGACTGTTGAAGGGCATGGCAGAGGTGATCTTTCTAGTATCCCTCTGATACTTATACAAATTAAAAGTACATACTGAACTGCCTCATTTGACAAAAATTTCCCCTGAAACGAACTGGTTCTGAACACGCGGACTAGTTCTTGAAAAACAGGCTAGCATAAACGTGCAAGATACACGCTCTAAGTTGCCAACTTTCGAGGGAAATTGCAAACACTCACCTTCTAGTATGAGGAGCCCATTCCCATCTGAGAGGACTTCCACCATCGGACGAAACGATTCCTCGGTCAATTCCACGATTGAGTTGATTGTCAGATTAAGAATTGTGTTCGGCGTGAGACCTGCAAGGAAGAAGAGGAATGCTTTGTTTTTGGGCCGTTCCATTTCCTCTTTCCAGGGAAAAATGGAGTTTTTTTTCTTAAATCAGAATTTCATGCAAAAGAGTAGATGCTTATATTCGCCGAAAAATTAATTTGGATGAAATTATTTTAAAATTTAGAGGAATAGCTAAATAACGCGGTTCTAACCAGTTCTATCCTAGAATTTCAGCCTCAACAATGCACATCAACAATGCTCATGCACATGAATTTCGTTTCTTCAATCTGGAAGTTCATCAGGGAGAGGATTTCTCTTTCTCATTTCATAAATACAGGTAGCAGGTTATCTTTACTTTGAAATTAACTGTGAAAAGCTGCTGACAGGTTTCAAGGTGGTATTGTGATGGCTCATACCGGTGATAGCTGCCATTTCCAGGTGGACAATGTTATTGTTATAGAGGATCACTGAACTCAATGCCTGGCTGTGGAATTTCAAGAATCCATACGACAGATCTGGTCCCAGGCTGCAACTGTGGCAATGAAACTCCTCAAGGTTCTTCAATCCCTCTAGAATCCCCAATGGGGTTTCCAAGAGATGATTGGCATCTGCTCGAAGGGAAGAATTCTCAACGACAGAAAAACACGTTTTCTGAGAGTAATCGTGAGGCAGCGTTCTCACTCAATCGTAGAGCTTTCAAGTTAGGAGTAGACCAGCCAGTCTCATTGAGCGCGGAAATTAGATTGAATCCAACGTGAAGATCCTCAAGACTCATGCTTTGCAGTGGAGGAACGACCGGCCCGATCCTTGTACCGACGACGAACAGATTCTTCAAACGGATCAGCTCCGGGAGGACGTGGAAGGGGAAATCCTCAAAAGGGCAAGCCCTCACAGTTAGGTATTCAAGCGTGTCCGCTGATGGGACTATGGCCGAAGGATGCAGAGCGACCACGGCGCAGTCACACACTTCGATTACCTCGAAGGTGACTTCCCCGAAGACTCCCTCGGGCAACTCGAGAACGCTGGTGTTGTTGCACAGTTTGAAGTGCCTGCAAGGAGGAAGAAGCTTGAACAGAAGTTCCTTCCAGCTGCTCGGTAGTTTTTCCCGTGGACTTTGAATCTCGGTTTTGCATGTAAACGAAGAAAAAAATTTTTTTTTTGCTGGGTTCGTTTCATCCGTGGCATCAATTCATGAACATTTTAATAATATGGTAATTTATTAATACAACTGTAAAATCCCAGACCCAGATCCTTAAGGTCCTGAGCTCAGGATTGACTGACGTTGCTCCCTAACCCCCTACTCCCCATTAGTGAGCGAAACATACAAAATCTAGATATGGGATCAGATTTCACCAGAATGCATAAATGCGACTGAGGTGGGCAGCTAGTCTAATCTTCACAATACGTTTCGTTCCGTCAGCCAAAAAAAGGAGTTCGTAAAAATAAACAATTTCTTATACCAAACTTTGCTATCGAAAAAACTTAAAAGGTATGAGAACGAAATAACGACCAGGAACTAGAAAAAAATTTCATAAAAAGAAAATTCGTCTCACAGGTGTTCGTTATATCGAGCGTCGACTGTATTTTGTTGCAAGGGAGCAGAAATGGAGCAGAGCTTTAGATAAAATTTGAGCGAATGATGTGCGCACAATACCAATAGTATTAAGGTATTAAAAGAAACTTGCGCGAGGCGATTGAAGGGCCAGGCGACAAAGTTGAAGATCGCGAAGATATCGGGGCCCGTCTCTGCTTTAGAGCAATCCACGTCCACATTCATCGTGGCTTCGTCGTACTGACAGGTACAGGGATATATCTGGTCGGGGTCGGGGCACGGTGCCTGCCTGGGTGCCTCCCTGGATGTTTCTCTGGGCACCCCGCAGACGAAGGGAAGGAGGAAGAGCCAGGAGGTGTTCATCTTCGAGGCTGGAGGTCGAAATGAGTGAACGCTGCCGACTCGGTGGCGATGGGAAAAGTCACACTTGAAGCCGTCGGTGACGTCGATCGAGGAAAGATCCTGCTCGGTGGGAAATAAATCTTCTGGGTTCGATACAGGGCGCAGAGGGAGGGATATTTCACAGCAAACTTTGAACTCATTTTTCGGGGTATATATGGAATTCGATGCTCAGACCAGAGGCAACGTCTCATGAAATCTTTCGTTTCAAGAGCGCTGGACATTCATTGATAAAAGTCACCAAGTGCTTGGTTTAGTAATGAAATGTATAATGGAACCCTTAACGACCCATGAGGCAAATGAGAGTGGAGAATTTGGCAACCTTGAGGAGGGGCATTTAATTTCGGTGAAGCCTCAATAGGCGATGCATCGCGATTGTGACCCGGTGATGCTCATGGCGTACGTCACATAACGTCAAAATCAGAATTTTCTGAAATCCGTTGGAATTGGTTTTGAAAAAAATTACTTTGCGGTTTTCCTAGAGATCTATATTTATTTACTGTTGCTAACCCTAATTTGACAGTGACGTCACATAACTGGATGTAACATGAAGTCAGAACGAAAAACGTCTGAAAAACATGAAGTTCGCAAATTTAAAAGGTTCGAACCCCGAAGATGCACGTTTCAGGGGATTTAATCGACTTAAGAACATCGTCGACCGCCGAAGACGGGAATATCGAGTCGCAGTGATATCGAGATAAAGAGTAGCAGTTGTAACTCGAGAAGGCGTCTATCCTAATCAATCCGTTCCAACTGGAACGAGTTTATCCCTGAAATCGCATGAGATTGAGATTATTAATACTGTTATTGCGTCTATTCATGGCGTGATTAAAACGTTTCCTCGAATACCTTTATGATGCACAAAATTCCCGTTTATTAGGATTTTAGAGCCGGAAACTTTATGTCTGATAAATCACGGAAGTCCCCGACCCCTTGCAGAAGTCCTGAAAGAAGTGCGGGTCCAGGTCCTGGATGTCTTTTCCGTCGTCGCATGTCCCCGACACGCTCCTCCAGAGATCCTCGTTCAGCACCAGCCAGGCCATGGAGCAGCCGCACTCGATCGGATTGTCTGCGAAGGCAAGTCATGCTTCATTCGTTGGATCACCTCATGGAGCAATCACATCCTGAATCTCAATGATCACGTCCCGCCCCCCCGTCCGAATTATCTTCTTCAAAGTCAAGTTGACACCTCCCGATGCATGACAATCGACGGCAAAATGAAAAAACGCGGTCGTTCTGTATGCACGCTCTACACTGCAAATCTCGGTGGGGAACTCCAAACTCACGATCTACAACGAGAAACCCACTCCCCCTTGAAAGGACTTCCATGATGGGGCGAAATGATTCCTCAGTCAAATCCACGATGTCGTTGTCGACCAGAGCAATAATTGTGTTCGGAGAGATACCTGTAGGAAGGAATGCATATTATGAAGATAATTTTTCTGGCGGAAAAGGGGAATTTTTTTAATGCGGGGTTTTAGCCGATGAGCGGAAAAGCTTATATTCCACGGAAAAATAGAGTTTTACGATAAAAATGAATAAACGTATGGAATAACTGAATTTTTGCAACTCATAACTGCCTTTCCGGGAATTCTTGTTCCAGAATTCTTGATGACAAATGGACTTGAATGGTCCTACATTGCAAGCTTATGGGAAACACTTCCGTGTGTCTGCAATTATGTGAAAAATCTTTTCAATGTGTTAGCTTTCAACTCTTCTCATGCATGAATTTTGCATATGTGATTCTTCAATCTGTAATTTTGACTCAAGGAGGACGTAATCGTGAGGGTTCACACCAGCGATTGCACCCACATCCAGGTGGTTGATGTTGTTATAATCGAGCCACAATAACCACATCGCCTCGCTGTTGAATTCCAGGAGCCCGCTCGACAGACTTGGACCCAACCTGCATCCTTCGCATGAAAACTCCTCTAGGTTCGTGAATCTCTTCAGGAGTTCAGAGGGAAATTCCGAGAAGGGATTCGACGCTGCTTAGCGAATGGACACATTCAACAGGAAAGAAGCATTCAAGTGTTTTTAGCATAATTGTGATAATTAATGTAATTATGTTACCTAAAGATAGTTGGCGTAAATTAGGCGTAGACCAGCCAGTCTCGTTCAACCTGGAAATCTGATTGCGAGTCAGGACAATGGATTGAAGGGTCTCGCTTTGAATTGGGGGCACGTCCGGGCCGATACTTGTAGTATCGATCATCAGTAGTTCCAAGCGATTCAACTGGGGAAGAACGTGAAACGGAAATTCCTCTAGAGGACAACTAAAGATGCCCAGATCGTAAAGCGACTCGTTGGATGAGAGCAAGGCCGTGGGATGCACGGTGACCACGGCGCAATCCTCCAAGTACATCCTCTCGAAGGAGACTTCTCCGAAGACTCCATCCGGCAGTTCTTCAACGGCTGTATTGTCGTAGAGTTTGAATTCCCTGCGAGGAGAAAGAAGCTTGAGCAAAGAATTTACATGTTTGTATAATATTGCGTCTTAAGTTCACTTATTTTCTTTGTTTCAGTTTCAAGGGTAATATTCTGATATAGAGTGTGATTTAAAAGCCCCTTGCGAACTCGTACGCCAATTTTAATTTTTTGTTTCCGATTCACTCATTCAAATCTGAATGAATGAATCTAAAATTAAAATAAACACATGAGTTTTTCTAATTTGCTAGACATTTTAGATCACCCTGCATATTCTGCATATAAACCTGCATATAAACCCGCTTTTCTTGCATATAACTGGAGGAAAATACCTCTTAACGTCATACGTTCAATTTCAATTTTCGAAAGATCAATAACCTTTTTCATTATCACCTCATAATGTTATTTAATTATGTATAATCATATAGCTTGCTTTCAATGATGGTAAATTGGATACATTTTCGTACTTTGAGGATGGGAAGCTTCAAAGGGTCTTTTATTTCTTCGAGTCATGCTACGCTTTTTCATGAAATAATTTTTCAGCACTTCAGGTATTAACCGGAAAGGCGTAATAATGAAAGGAATTGTTAACTTACGTGAGGCGGTTGAAGGGCCAGGAGACATCGTTGAAGGCTGCGAAGATCTCAGAGCTCGTCGTGGCATCAGAACAGTCCACGTTCACTACGTTCGTGTCTTCGTCGTACTGACAGGTGCAGGGATGAATCCGGTCGGGATTGGGGCACGGTGCCTGCTTGGGTGCCTCCCTCGGTGCTTCTCTGGACACCCCGTAGACGATAGGGAGGAGAAAGAGCCAGTAAGTGTTCATCTTCGAGGCTGGAGGTCGAATTATGTGTGAATGCAGCCGACTCGGTTGCGATGGGAAAAGTCACACTTGATGCCGTCGGTGAGGTCGATCGAGGAAAAATCCTGCTCGGTAGGAAATAAATATTCTGGGTTTTCGGGATTGGGGCACTGCGTCTGCTTGGATGCCTCCATGGGTGTTTGCCACAGACGAAGGGGAGGAGAAGGAACCAGAGGGAGGCGAAGTTCATCTTTGAAGGTGGATTCAGGATTGGAAGGAGGTCGTTGGTTGCGGATGACTTGATTGCGACGCGGAGGGTGGATGGGAAAACGACACTTGCCGTCGGTTACGAAAGATTCTTATCGGTGGGAAACATTCTGCTGGGTTGGATTATTGGCGGAGAGGGGGAGATTTCGCGGCAAAATCCTTTGAAATCCATTTTCAAAGTACTTTTGGAATTCGATGCTTTCGGTTCGGATTTGGGTCTTGAAATAGTTTATTTAAAAAAAGTAGGATGAATTCTCAACTGTAAAACAAATGTAAAAAAAGAGATAAAACTCGGTTCACTAATTAAATATACAGGTTTCACTAATTAAGTTCACTAATTAAAAATACTCTCTGAAGTCTCGAAACACAGGTGTTGTTCTACCAGGCATCGCGGAACGGCATCGCATTGCACCGGCTATTCTCCGACCTTTCCAGGAAGAGTCGATGCCACGACTTAACATGCGCATTCACAGCAATGGCGGGACAAGTCGAGCATATTCTTCGAATATATAAATCGATTTTCCAGTCTCTCCCGACTTATGAGACACCCTGTAGAATAAGAACTCCTTAGGGAGAAAATGGAAAAAAAGTTGAAGGTCGCAGACGAGTCGACACAAAGGAGCCACGATGACTCAGAGGGCAAGTTTCTTCCGTGTCGGCTAATTGGGCTGGATGCAGATCTGCGATGATACCTCATCTGATGCCTCATCTGATGCCTCATTTGATGCCTCGTCATTCATTCCAAGACCTGCATCCAATCTTTCCTTCTTTTCCCCTCGAAACCCGTTTATCCCGAAACTGGTCCGACCCAATGACGAGCACCCGCAGGAACGAGATGAACTCGGGCGACCCGATCCCACGATAAAAGCACACGACGAAAATTAAAATAATAAAGTGAATAATAGACCCAACAAATAAATAAATAAAAACGATCAAATTCAATAAATAAATATTATTTTAAAATATTACTTAAAAATGTTATTAACAAATTTCAACTTTTCCAAGCGAGAATCCCAGCCCATCCAATCAGGAATGTCGCCGTGCTCTTTGGCATGAAGTTGGAACTCTGGAAGGAAGAGTCAGTTGCGAGACTTTTTTTGCACCTGTTCGACTGAAAACTCATTATTCTTCTCCTTGGTGGTTTGTCGTTGCATAAACTCTTCCTTTTCCCCTTTTACTTTTAAATTTAGTTTTGTTCTGAATGCAGTTTGTTGATTGCGGGGTTAATAAACATGACGAAAAGTGCGAAAATCTGCCCTCGTCTCAAGTTCGTGGAAAGGTACTTCAGCCGGTACCTCAGCAGGTACTTCAGAAGGTAATTCAGAAGGTAATTCATCTCGGTGGCCGTTGCAGCGAAAAATCGTGTGAACCTCAGTCTCCTTTTCTTTGCACAAGGGACAAAGGTTGAGCGAGGTTCCGCAGGGTTTTCCGTCTCCAGACCTCAAAGACGCCAGCCTGACGAACGTGCCGATCGACCGCAGCCCGTTTGCCGACAGCCCATTTGGCAATGCGATGTGGCATTTGGCAATGCGATGTGGCATTTGGCAATGAAGTCCAGTGGGTTCCGATGTTTCGTTCGACGACCGTTTCCAGCTGAAGCAGTGCCATCGCGTCCGGTGCGTTGCGGTCCATCGGCCATCTCAACCGTCGAGATCGGATGGTCCATGGAGATGGATCAGCACCGAAAAAAAATGCACGGAACAGATGTATCAGAAGTTCCCTTCGATGGTCTCGAGGCAAGTTCGCTCTCTCCTCGCGAAGTCTTCGGTTGAACGCGCAATTCCAGCGACCGGTTTGCGAGAACGCGACGCCCAAATAGCTGAAGCGGGCGACTGCCTCCACCCCGTCGTCTGTCACCTTCGTCGATCGTGATCTTCCTTTTCTTCACGTTTGCTTCCAGATTCCAGGACCGGCGGGATCATCGAGTGAAATTCTGCGGGAGACTCTGCCATAATTGCCAGATCATCTGCATGCAAGGCTCGTTCTCGACGGTGCGGAAAGCGTTTCTTTCCCCATCGACGAAAGAAAAAGAGAGGAGACATTCGGCATCCCTGTTTCACTCCAAGAACGGATGGGCACGACTCGGAACGTGACGACTGCGAGATCCGCATGCCTTTCGCGGACTCGGAACGTGACGACTGCGCGATCCGCGTGCCTTTCGCGGACTCGGAACCCCTCGGAATGCCCGCGGGATCCTCGGAAATTCCGTGGAACGTAATCGGAACTGCATCTTGCACAACGCGGCCGTCGAATCGCGGAGGCAGTCGAGGATGCTGCTGGGTGCGAACGGGGAGGGGGGGACGCGAGGTCAGGAAGGTCGTAATCTCCATCGACATCGACGCAATAAAATGCCTTATGGCTTTTCTTGCGTAGGCGGGATTCCGCACGTGCAAGGGACTTGCGGCTTCCTGCGTTTGCTTCTTCAGAAGGTGAAATCCTTTCCTTCGGAGATTTAACTCCACTGAAAAGTATTTTTACGGCTCTACTGTATATGAGTTCTTTGAAACCATGAATCAAGACGAGTCTATCGGTACTTTATTTACCGTACTAGTTCCAGCTGTGCGATGGACTTCGGAAGTACCGAGAGACCTCGAGGAAGCTTCGAGCTCTCGCGTGAGCGTGAGCGTGAGCGTGAGCGCGATTTTATGGGATAGGGCCGCATTTCACCATGGATGCTTTAAATTGCAAATTTCGAATTGTAAAATGCAAATGGCATTCTGGAATTCGTTCAGATTGAACCAAAATGAAGCCCGTGAGGCAAAGTGAAGCCCGTGAAGCAAAGTGAAGCCAGTGAAAATGGTCTCTTCGAATCGGCAATTTTTGTGTCTCTATGAATATTTGTTGTCCCATAGACTTTCCACGCGATACGGATCCGATACGGAACACGATACGGACCGGGACACGATACGGATCCGATTCGGATTCCGTTTAAACGAAAGGGGATTTGGGTGTCGCGACGATTTCAATCATATTTGAATCGATCGCTTCGCCTGTCTTGGAAAAGATCCTAAAAGTCCTTTCATCCTCCAAGGTCCTCCCATAAGTATCGTACAGGAAGCGACGACAAGCGAGAGAGCGAAAGCAGCGACTCGACGGAAATTTGGGGAAGTAGCTTTGCCAGTCGGGAAGGAAGTTCGTGGAAGGTCGAGTGGAAAGTTGATCAGAATTGGAAATTAGCCAACTTAATGTCGACCTTTCAGATGTTAAGCAATCGCTAGCTCGAAATGTAAGCTCTCGCAAGAATTTCATTCCCGGAATTCTATTTTATTCAATAATTGTACGATCCGCGTCCAAGATCTCTTCCGAGTTTCCCAGAATTTCCCGATTTGGGAAGCAGATAAACGGATAAAGGATTATCCAGCAGATGTTGCGGGGATTTAGACTTGCAAACGCTTCCGATACCGTTTCCCACGAGGATTAAAATTCGAGGCGAGACCGGATGACTCACCGTTTCTCAGCCCCCGTTTCACGGCCACGAAATATTTTTCCAATCTTCATTTTTATATTTAATTAATTTAATTAGAGTAAAGGTCTTTTCGTTGCCTCGCGCCTGCTCCGCATGTCCTTCAGAATCTAAGGTCACCAGGACGAGGAGCCGGCAATCACAACAGCACGCTGTCCATGATGAATGAGGGAAGGGAAGGGAATCCAACAGGAATCCAACAGGCACTCAACAGAAATTCGACAGGAATTCGACAGTGCCGACCCGGCACCTGGAATGCCGACACCTGTTACCCTTCCAGGCCCAGGGAACTGCGAAACTCGTCTCGGAAGCTTGTTTCAGGGAATGCCGACTCCCCGCTTCCTCGCCCTCCTGACTCTCCGCTTCCTCGCCCATTGACTCTCCGCTTCCTCATTTTTCCTCTGCTGCCAGAATTCGCTGTCCAACTCTTCCAAATTCGCTTCGTTCCTGCCCCTGTCCGAAAGAGACCATCTGGAATCTTTTTAACCATTTTAACTAAAACCTTCAAATCACAGTTTTTAAACTGATGACGTCACGTGACGTGACGTCATCGCTCAATTTTCCCCGTTCTCTTCGTCCGTCGGGGATCGCATTCCAGAGCTGTAAAAAGGCGGAGAGCCCAAGGTCTCCCCCCTCGAAGTCGGCCTATCCTCCAAAAGGCATGACGAATTTATGTTCCGCTGCGATATTTAATCAAATGACTACAAGGCGGACGGCATGCCGCAATTGACTTCGATGAGCCGACGGGCCCCCGTCCCCGCTCGTCCTCTAATTTTTCGCAGAGGCCCTATATCAATCAGCCGCGTCGTGAAATGTGACGGAAACGAGTTGGCAAAACGTTTCGCAATGGGAGCCGCCGGAGGAAGGTCGACCGTCGAGGAGCCGGGAGTCGATTCGCGTTCCAAACGAAGCCGGGAGTCTTCAAGAAGGAAATTAAACGAGGATAAACTGAAGATTTTATGAAAAATTTTAAATGGAATTTGTGTGATCGATCTTTGGGTTGCGATTCCTCGAGGTGGAAGTGTGGAGGCGGCCTCCATTTCGGCTAGGAAGACTCGATGGAAGTGGAGGAGGAGGAAGGCGGGAGGAAAGAGGGAGGAAGGCGGGAGGAAGGCGGGAGGAAAGAGGGAGGAAGGCGGGAGGAAAGTAAACGAGGACATCCGCTGAAATTCGCGAGGAGTCTTCCGAATCGATAAGGATTAATTTCCATCGCGACGGACGAGGATCTGGTCGAACTGGAAACCTCGGAAATGGTCTTCCACACTTTTACGTAATCAAAAAAGAAGCATCTGCCGACGAGACATTTCAAT